GAACCCACCACCTTAGGTGTATGTGGCTGGCGCCTTAGCCACTTGAGCCACAGGCGCTGAGCCCTTCAAGGAACATATTCTTCTTAGCAAAGTATCTCAAGAATGTAGTTTTGAGATTTTAAGTAAAGCAAGTAGATAGCCCTCAGAATGGGAGAGGATATTTGCAGGTTATGTTTCTGACAAAGGTCTGATAACCAGAATCCACAGAGACCTCAAACCTATTAACAAGAAAAGAACAAGTGATCCCATTTCATTGTGGGCAAGAGACTTGAACAGAAGCTTCTCTGAAGAAGACAGGCGCATAGTCTACAGACACATGAAAAAATGTCATCATTTTTAATCATCAGAGAAATACAAATTAAAACCACTTTGAGATATCGTCTAACTCCGGTAAGATTAGCCCACATAACAAAATCCCACCCTTCTTGAAACTGTGTATTTGCCCAAGTCTCCACTTGCTCCTATGTGCCTGCTGGCTCAGTGCACAAGGCAGCCGCCTCCAGTGCTCTGGGTGGGTGGGACTTTGCTTCCCCTGGGCCAAGAGGTAGGACTTAGCTTCCTCTGGGCCAGGAGGTGGCAGCCTCCACCATCCCCACAGTGTCTCCAGGGAGGCCCTAGAGCCAGCCTCTGGCCCTGTCCCCATCCAGGGGGCCTGGCACTCACGAACTCCCCACCTCCCAGCTTGTGTTACCCACCTGGAGGCCTCAGCAGGCCTGTCAGGGCCTCCTATGGACCTGTACTTGTCTCCTGGGTGGCTGTCTGCCCTTTGTCCTGACCTAGAATTGTCCCCCTGACACATATATCCGGACTCTCACAGTCGCTTTTGAGTTGGGGGAGGGGAAGTGGACCCCTTTCTGATCACTGCATGCCTGGGTCAGCTGGGAAAACCCCAAAGGGACGCTGAAACAGCCCTACCCTGAGCCCATAATTCTCCTTCCCCTCACATGCCCACCCTGGCCCATCCTCTGAGCAGTTGCACTCTCCCTGAGCTGGGCTCTCAGGCTCTGGATGCCTTGTCCCCTGCCCCTCCTGGGCTCCCTGCCCTCTCCTGCCCCTCCTAGGCGCCCTGTTTTCCCCTGCCCCTCCTGGGTACCCTGTTCTCTCATGCCCCTCTGGGCGCCCAGGCCTTCCTGAGGTGGAGCACATGGACCCAGGGCCACTGTACCTGCCCTGTACACATACAAAGGCCTCCCTAGAGGGTTCAGGATGCCTGCACCTGCCTCCTAATGCCAGGGACAAACAGCCTTGCTCCGCCACTCCATTAATGTGTAGAGCCTTGGTGCCATGGAGCTCGCCACCCTGCCTGGGCCTCAAGGAAGGTACAAGGGGCAGAGAAAGGCAGAGGAAGGCCCAGGTGCTAGGTGACCGAGCTGGATGTCTTCAGAGTGACCCTTGGGGTGGGGGTCCCCAAATGTATTCAGAACTTCCCTATTTGGCCCCTGATGAAGAGGCTACCTCAATCACTGCCAGCCTCACACCAGCTGTGCTGTCCCCTTCTGGAGCCTAGGAAGCTTGGGTAGATGCTGGTCCTGACCAGCCCAGATCCTAAGGCACAAGGCTCAGTGTCAGGCCCAGCATCCTCCTTACCAATGCGTCCCTGCACAAGTGCAGGGACCTTGAGAGGGGCAATGGTTGTGTGTGTGTGTGTGGTCTTTATAAGGACTGCAAGCAGATGGGGTGAGAGAAGGCTGTAGGATGTGAATGTGCGTCAGCACCTGCTATGAACCAAAATGTCCCCTCCAAATTCATAGGCTGAGGCCATACCTTCCTGTGTGACAGTGTGAGGAAGTGGGCCTGTAGGAGGTGATTAGGGTCAGATGAGGCCACATGGGAGGGGCCCTGGTCCAATGAGATTAGTGGCCTCTAAGAAGAAACAGCAGAGAGTATGTTGATGTGTTCCCCTCCCTGTCTTTCCCTCTCTGCTTACACACACTGAGGAAAGCCAGTGAGGACACAGAGGGTGGTTGTCTACAGACAGGAAGAGGGTCCTCACCAGCCAGCACCTCCATCTAGGACTTCCAGCTCCTAGAGCCGTGGGGAATGAGTGTCTGTTGTTTATGCCACCTGGTGGTGATATTCTGTGAGGGCAGCTCCTAAAGTTCACCCATGCATCTGCTCCTCCCTTCCTCTTGTTAATTTATGCCAGGCTGCTTTGGGGGAGACAGTGGGTCAAGTGCAATCCCAGGGTCTTGGGGGACCATGCTCAGAGACAGGGTGGGCCAGGGAGCCAAGTGGACAGGGTATCTGGGTTGAGGCTTGCACAGGGTGGGCATCTTAGAGGCAGAGGCAGCAGATGAGGGGGGTCTCAGGGGAGTGGGAGGAAGAGGAGGTCAGTGGCCCTATGCAGACTGTACCAGCCACTTACACCTGGTCTTCACCCATCTGAATGAGGCACTGTTGTGGCCTTGAGAATGAAGGCAGTGAGTTTGGCAGCTTTGTGGCTATCCCAGTGAGAAGTGGGACAGGGGACAAAAAGCCTCAGGGCTGAGAGCCCCCACTGAACCTCACCTGGGAAGCCACTATGGCAGGGCACAGTCAGTTTGTCTGCCACGTTGCCACCCTGGCTGCAGAGACCGCCCATGGGCAGTCATAGCAGACTTTCCTGTCCCCTGGGGAGGTCTCAGGGTGGACATGTGGCCTACTAAGAGTCACCACTAGAGGTCACCAGCTGTAGGCCACCAGCAGTCTTCTCCCTGCTGCTAAGAGGATGAGGAGGACTCTTATCCTGGAGCTTCCCAGCTATGCTGGGGGGCTGGGGGGTGGAGGGGCTCTGCTCAGGACCATGGGTGACCAAAGAGGAGTATCCAGTATCCTGCTGCCAGGATGACAGTCATCAGAATAGCTGGGCCCAGACACCTGTGGCCTCATGGTGTCACAAGAGCACCTGCTCCAGAAGCCTCCTGCAGGCTCATCCATGGGGGCACTTGGCCTTGCACCTGAACTGCTGAGGCGGAGTCTCAGCCCTCAGTGGAGCCAGTCACAGAGCTGGAGCTCCTGAGAGGAGGCTGAATCCTTCTGGAGCATGCTGTGCAAACACAAATGTGTGCTGCCCACCTGTCCACTTTCCCAGCCTCCCCCACAGGGACTGGTGGCCTTGCTGTATCTTTCACAAAGTGGAGTTTTAAAAATTCTAATGAGGTCTGGAATATGGGTCATGGGCTTGGCAAGTTCCTGGAGCTCCTTACACAGTTGGCCACTGGCCAGGCTGTAGCACTCCTTCCCATCCTACCTCAGGGCAGAACAACTCTGAGTCAGGAGCCCATCCCAGGGCCCTCAGCTCCTCTTCCACAGGCACCACTCTGGCCCAGCTCACTGAGGCTGCAGTGCTGGCCTGGGCACCAGCTTGTGGGGGATGCTGCCATCTTAATGCTGCGAGTGGTCTGGAGCATGCCGTGGCCCACATCCAGCCCTCCCTCCTACTGAAGGTTATGCATGAGGCCTAGCTGGCCTCTGTGCGTCCCAGAGGTAGCTCCTATGTGAGCTTCTGACCCATTTATCCAGGACCTGAAATACAGCAAATTTTCTGAGTCCCAGAAGAGAAGAGCCTCTACCAAGAGCCAGGCTGCCCCACTGGAGTGCGTGTCACCTGTACATCCATGCTGTCTGAGGTGCCATGGCAGGCCCGGAAGCCTGTAGACTGGCCTCCTCTGCAGGCCAGACCCTGGCTTGCATGCAGGCCTCAGTGGAGCTGAATGTGTGCCCCAGTGTGCATCACAGAGGGATGCTGTGTGACTCTCCCAGTCACAAAGCTGGTCTTCCATCACCACGGGAAGCAGAGAACATACGCCAGGCTCCAGCAGGCCTGTGGTACCCACCCCTGCCCTCGGCTGTCTGCCTTCAACCAGGAGCCTGGGCCTTCAAGGGGAAGAGAGCTTGAGTCCTGCACTGGCTGCCCAGACTTTGTCCAAGATTTAAAGCTGCCAAGTCTTGTTCTTGAGGCTGTTGACTTTTGTTCCAAAGCAGGAAGGAAAGCTGACCTCAGATCTGGACGTTTAAAGAGCTGAGCCTGGACTTGGCCCAGATGCCAGGCTGCACTAGAACCTTCACTGTTTGGTTGGGGGGAACCTCACTGGAAGCCTGTCTGATGTCTCCCCAGAGTCCCTGGCCTGTGCACGGTGGCACTGGGTGGCCATAGACAGCTATGCATGGCCACTCACCAAGCTTCAGGAAGGACAGCAGGGTGGATATATCAGTATCTTCATTCCACACTGTGTCCAATCTTAGGCAATCTCAGAAAAGTGATATAAAAGAAAACATTTTCTGAAATAAGAAGATTGCTTTCCTTTTTTTTTTTTTTGTAGAGACAGTCTCACACTGCTCACAGCAACCTCCAACTCTTGGACTTAGGCCATTCTCTTGCCTCAGCCTCCCGAGTAGCTGGGACTACAGGCACCCACCACAACGCCTGGCTATTTTTTTGTTGCAGTTTGGCCGGGGCCAGGTTTGAACCTGCCACCCTCAGTAGGTTCAAGGGGCTGGCACCGTACTCATTGAGTCACGGGTGCTGCCCTGCTTTCCATTTTTAATGACCAACAGGCAGTAAGATGGGCATCTGTTCTACAAAATGCAACATTCTATGGACTCCAAGAAGCAAGTGCCTATTTACAAATGATCCTAAATAAACACTGACCCAAATAGGTACAAGAATGTTTGTTAGAGGCAGAAAAGTCAAAAGATGGCAGTTTATTCAGCCATTTGCCACTTGTTTGATACTGAGCCTATTTTGGGGGGACCTGACCAGTGATCATATGGTCAGCCTCATGCAGTCCTACTCCTAGACACCTCTCGAGGACCTGTAACTTTGTGGATGATACGCTGTGCACTCAGCACCACTCAGCTGGGGCTCACCACCACACTTCATTAACCAGGAGGACAAGTGTCCAGACAAGGCACCCTCCTCTTACTGACTGTATAGAGCGCCCCTGAGAACTGCGATCGACATTCTGCAGTTAGAAAAACACGGGCATATCCAACATACTCAGTACTCGTGTGAGGCCAGCAGATGGTCTGAGACACACCCACAGGAGAGAAAAACTCAGTTCAGTTACAGCTGGGGCAGGGGATAAGAATGAGGGAGGGGAGTTGGGAGGAGAGGGGAGTGGGGAGGAGAGGGGAGTGGGGAGGAGAGGGGAGTGGTGAGCTCCCACTTAACGGCACACTGTAGAGGTACATGGCACACCTGGGCACGGGCCACAGCTACAAGAGGGACTCTACCTAACACAGGCAAATATTGTAACCTAGTTGTTTGTACCCTCACATTAAACAGAAATAAAAAAAGAGAGAAAGAAGGAAAGGAAAACGTGGGCCATGCAAAATACCTCCAGTCTCAACATAATGCCAACAGCAAAACGCTACTTGCCTTCAGAACTCTGAACTGCAAAGAAAAATGGTGTGGGAAGATCAGATGTACCAAGATGTTGTTTAGCCAGACTTCGTGATTCTTTATACATTTATTTATTTATTTATTTATTTAAATAAGAAATGTGCCAGAATCTCACTATGTCACCCTGGGTAAAGTGCCATGGCATCACAGTTCACAGCAACCTCAAACTCTTGAACTTAAGTGAAGAGTCTTGTCTCAGCTTCCCAGGTAGCTGGGACTACAGGTGCCTGCCACAACACCAGGATAGTTTTACTATTTTTAGTAGAGATGGCGTCTCACTCTGGCTCAGGCTGGTGTTGGCCTCGTGAGCTCAAGGGATCCACTCATCTTGATTCCTAGAGCTCGAAGATTGCATGTACCCCCATGCCTGGCCCACAATCTTAAACCACTCTGCAGGTCAGGTTGGCAGTTACCTTTGTCCACATGCCAAATTCCTTATGAGTGCTGCTGCTGACATGTTCATCCACATGCCAGATCTTACTGAATTCCTTCAAAGCTAGCACACACTGATGTCCATGGAGACTTTTGGACCAGTGTGTTCATCGTGGTGTCCCTCCCATGAGAGATAGAAACAGCAAATGCTCTGTCTCCTGAGCAATGTACCATGGCCAGCCCACCCTGACTGCACTGCCCAGGGGCCTACCAATCTCTGGTGCTGTAGCTGCTGAAGTGTACAGGGCATCACAGACACATAGTTCCAGTCTTTACATTGATGATGTAAAGGGGCCCCTGTGCCAATAGCATGGGGACAGCACAACAGGACCACGTGTTTCCGTCTAGAGAAGGTAAACTTCTTATCACCCCTGCATTTATGACTAAACGGTGACATCTCATGCAGACGTACAAGATCGTTAGTACCTTTGGAAGAATGCTGCAGGTCCTAAAGGGAAATCCATTTCAAAAGGCTCTTTTGGTCAGATCCACCGCTGTGTAGCTAACATAGCTCTCCTCTGCAAATGCATCCATGTGGACGCACGTCCTCGTAGGGCTGCGTTGGTCCAGTAGCACTGGAGTGCTGTGTTTTCACTGTCACTGAGGCAAACCTGCATGAGAAAAAGTAAAGTAAATGAGTGTGAAAGACAAAGAAACACTTGGAGAGCCCAGTCTGTCAGAATGTTCACTATTTCATATAGCTTGTCTATTTCATTGCCTAAATTCACTTTGAAGAATTCTTACCTAAATGTTTATATTAATAATAAAAACAAAACTAAAGGGAAATTCAAGTTCTCATTTAATGGCACATGTGTATTTGAAGGGGTGAGATGAAGTTTTGCTATTAGATAACTGCTTTGGGGAAATACCATGTTCAAAGGAACACATGTATTACTGGATCAGGCATACAAATTAATTTTTGTTGAAGAGCATTTTGTGGGCTGGGTGCGGTAGCTCAAGCCCATAATCCCAGCACTCTGGGAGGCTGAGACAGGAGGATCCCTTGAGCTCAGGAGCTGGAGACCAGCCCGAGTAAAAGCAAGACCCCATCTACTAAAAATAGAAAAACTAGTTGAGTGTTGTGGTGGAGGCCTATAGCTACTTGGGAGGCTGAGCCAAGAGGATTGCTGGAGCCCAAGAGTCTGAGAGTCCTGTGAGCTATGATGACACCACAGCACTCTATCCAGGGCAACAGAGTGAGATACCCTCTCTCATAAAAGAAAAGAAAAGGAACATTTTCTGGAGGTGGCGGGAGCAAGGAAAGGTTAGGACAGGAGAAGTACTGAGTCTGGTAAAAGAAAGTTTCTTAAGAGTAGACATAGGAGCTCTGTGGTGGCAGTATTGTAGCCAGTGAGGTTTATCCAAGGTGCAATTAATGCTAATTGAAAACTTTTCCCAATACCCTGCAGTGACGACTTGCAATATAGTTGGCACTGGCAATTTTTGGCGGTCTCTACAGAGACTGGAAAAAAAAAGAGGAGACATAGGAAAATGTACGACAGTCACTATAAACAGCCAACTCCCTTATTGTTACGTCCATGTGTCCTGTTTTTCCCTACATGGTGCTGGAGTCATTTAAATCATATTTAAATCTTTCCTTCAAAGTTTAATATGAACCTTGAGAAAAGTCATTAGCTCTGTCCTAATAGGTACTTTAAGTGTTTTGTTCACTTTCAAAAAAAATTTATTTATTTATTTATTCATTTTTTATTTTTGTGAGATAAGTCCATTTGCACCCTGGGTTGAGTACTGTGGCATCCTAAGGTAACCAGACATCCCACTTTTGGCAGGACAGTCCCGATTTTTAACAATTTTTCCCATGTCCCATGGCGTTTTAAAAAAGTCCTGATTTGGGGATTCTGGGAAGATGATCAACTGGTAGCAACCCTGGTCAGAGGCTCCTGAGCAAAGAAAGAAAAACTGGTTGGAATCATAATATATGAAGCCAAAGATGGGGAGCTGAGCCCAGAAAGAAGTTCGGCAAGCTGTAAATCCAAGGAAGATCATTTAAGAACACAAAATACAGGTACAAAGCCGGCCCCAGAAATGCTTGCTAGAGCCGCCGGCCTCCTGCGGGTGGCCGGTGGCTGCAGAGAAGTCCCCTGTGCCGGGAAGGCACAGAACGACTTGGTAGAGCCTTCCGCACCCCCGCAGGTGGCAGCAGACAAGTCCCCCACTCTGAGAGGACCCAGAACTGCTTGCTAGAGCCGCTCACCCCACAGGCAACAGAGAAGACCCCCGCTCCAGGGCTCTGGGCAGGTCCAGAACCACTTGCTAGAGCCACAAGCCTCCCTTGGGAGGCAGGTGGCTGAAGAGGAGTTCCCCTGCTCCAGGAAGCCACAGAAGTACTTGCTAGAGCCTTGCGCACCCCCTTGGGTGGCAGCGGATGAGTCCCCCACTCTGGGAGGACCCAGAATTGCTTGCTAGAGCCACGCACCCCACGGGTGGCTGAGGAGAGCCCGGGTCCAGGGCTCTGGGCAGGTCCAGAACCATTGCTAGAGTCGTAATCCTCCTGCGGGTGGCGGGTGGCTGGAGAAGTTTCCCTGCTCTGGGCAGCCACAGGAGTACTTGCTACTCTGGCGGCAGAGTAGATCCCTGCTCCAGGGTTCTGGGTGGGTGCAGAACTGGGTGCTAGAGCTGCACACCTCCTGCAGACGGCAGGTGGCCACAGAGTACTTGCCCTGCTACGGGTAGCCACAGAACCAATTGCTAGAGCCTTGTGCACCCCTGCGGGTAACGGCAGATGAGTTCCTCACTCTGGGAGGGCCCAAAACTGCTTTCTAGAGCCGCGCACCCCACGGGCAGCAGAGTGGATCCCTGCTCCAGGGCTCTGGGTGGGCGCAGAACTGCTTGCTAGAGCCGCACACCTCCTGCGTGCCGTGGGTGGCCACAGAGGACTTCCCCTGCACTGAGCAGGTGCAGAACCACTTGCTAGAGCCTTGCACACCCCTGCGGGTGGCAGTGGATGAGTCCCCGACTCTGGGAGGGCCCAGAACTGCTTTCTAGAGCCATGCACCCTACAGGCGGCAGAGTAGATGCCTATTCCAGGGATCTGGGCAGGCGCAGAACTGCTTGCTAGAGCCGCACACCTCCTGAGGGCTGCGGGTGGCTGCAGAGGACTTCCCCTGCTCCGGGCAGGCACAGAACTACTTGTTAGAGCCTTGCGCACCCTGCAGGCGATGGCAGAGGAGTCCCCCACTCTGGGAGGACCCAGAACTGCTTGCTAGAGCCGCACACCCCACGGGCAGCTGAGGAGATCCCTGCTCCAGGGCTCTGGGTGGGCCTAGAACTGCTTGCTAGTGCCATGCGTGTCCTGCAGGCAGTGGCAGAGGAGTCCTCCATTCCAGGTAGACCCCAAACAGCTTTCTAGAGACATGCACACCCCACAGGGGCCAGCAGAGGAGTTCCCTGCTCCAGGCACCTGTGCTGGGTGGGCCCAGAACTGCTTGCTAGAGCCACGCGCGCCCTACAGGAGGTGGTGGAGAAGTCTTCCGCTCTGGGTGGGACCAGAACTGTATGTTAGAGCCAAGTGCATCCCACAGACAGAGGTGGAGGAGTTCACCACTCCAGGCTCCCATGCTGGGAGGGAATAGATCAGTTTGCTAGTGCCACATGCGTCCAACAGACCACGGTGAAGGGGTCTTCCACTCCCCCCAGCTACTCTGGTGGGGCCGAACTAAGACTGATCTGGTCGCTCGCGTACCCTACACTACCACTGCCATTCCCCCACCCACTGGCTGCTCCAGGGTACTGAACTAGGACTGATCCATCTACTACCGATCTCCTGCCCCCTGGTTGCCCCAGTAGGCTGAACAAGGTCTAATCCGGCCATGCACACTCCCGTGCAGCTGCTGCCATTCCACTGCACCCCAGTTTCCCAAGCACCAGAGAACTGGGAGTAGACAACAGACATGCTCTGCCTGTCTCTTTGGGCAACCAGAAGAAGCCACCAACTGAACAGTTCCCATAAGGCCTCCAAACAAGGTAAACTCAGAATGGGGCGGAATCAGCGGAAAAACTCTAGCAACTAGAATAAAAGAATAGATCAACTCCCCCAAGGAAAAATGGGGCAGACGTAATTGAAGACCCCATACACAAGCAAATGGCTGAAATGTCACAAATCGAATTCAGAACGTGGATAGCAAATAAGATTAACAGAATGGAAGAAAAGAAGGAAGTAGAAGTTCAAGAAATTATTCAAAAGACTTCTCAAGAAATTATTCAAAACATTTCTCAAGAAATTATTCAAAAGATATCTCAAGAAATCATTCAAAAGATGTATCAAGAACTCAACAATTTCAAAGATAAAATGATCAAAGATTTTGAAACACTGAAACAAGAGGTTGCAGCCCTCAAGGATCTGAAAGATATGGTGGAATCCCTCCATAACAGAATGGAACACGCTGAAGAAAGGATCTCTGATTCTGAAGACAAAGCTTTTGAAGAAGCCAAGGAATGCAAAGATCAAAAGAAATGGAGAGCAAAAATGGATCTCACTCTCAGAGAGCTCTTGGATAATTTGAAGAAAACTAATATTCGCCTTATAGGAATCCCTGAAGGTGATGAAGTTGCTTCACAAAACACTGAGGCTCTTCATGAAATTATGAAAGAGAACTTTCCAGACATGCCAAGAGATTCTGAAATTCAGATAGCAGATAGTTTCAGAACCCCAGCAC